TCTCCCTCCACTCATCTGGCATCCTTGCTGTCCGGAAGATAACATTGAAGAGTTTGGTTAACCAAACCCACGCACCACGACCCGCATGCTTCCAGAACTCCACCGGAATCTCATCTGGTCCCAAAGCTCTCCCACTACGCATCCCGCGGAGAGCCCGAACCACCTCTTCCAGGCAAATGCGCCGGCAATATACACGAGACGCCCCGGATTGCCCCAGCTCATCAAGAACTAGCCTCTGCTCTCCTCCCGCATTTAAGAGTTCACAAAAGTACTCCCCCCAGTGCTTAGCCACCTTGGCAGTCTCAACTAACACTCTACCATCACTGTCCTTCACGCAACGCACGTGGTCCAGATCTTGGAATTCAAGATATTGTAGAACCTTAAGATCAAGCTCTACAACTTCGATGAAGACCACATGTTCTAATTCAGAGACTGAGGGGACGAAAAAAATTAATCTTTCGAACTGTTTTACTACTGTGACGAGATGGAGTAGATGAAATATGAATTCCAGACCTACAATTCATATGAAGACACCATATCCTAATTCAATGGGATCATATGTTGGAAAGTAGCCAACCTTGCATTCCATTCACCCGACCCGAGATCAAAAGGAAACATGGTCAAGCCTGGCTAAGTTCTCACACAGTCACACAGTTCTTATGTTCTTCAATGCTCCCTAGGATCATTGATCGAATTGTTGACTGAATATACAATCAACAATGCTCACTTTACATTAAGGGCAGGAAACCCATTTCACCCTTTTAATGTAAGAGACTTTTATTGCCTTGCAGGGAAAAGACAAGTAAAACCGGTTGATAGGACACAAGAAAACTCTGCTTATGTATTTGATCTAATGAGCAGTGAACCTATAAACCATGACATGGTCATACGTCTCGCCCGGGTTCACAATCTGCGAAGGGAAATTCGGGTGGTTCACCGCATCTGGAAAGCCTTGAGTTTCCAAGCACAAAGCCGCATGTTTTTTGTACACGAATCCGCCTTTCCCCTTGGTGTCTTTCAGCGAATTACTTGTGTAGAACTGAACCCCGGGCATGTTAGTCCACATTTCCATCTTTCGCCCTGATTTCCCCTCTTCCACCACCGCAGCCATGCTCAAACTCCTCAGCACCCGGCTGTCAAACACGTAGTTGATGTCATAGCCACCAGGGAGCTCACCCAGCAGTTCCAACACGGCAGCCATGCCCAAATTTGTGGACCCCGCGTCGTCCAATACGTAGTTGATATCGTATCCACCGGGTAGCTCATCCAACCGGGTCCCAATCGCCTGTGGCTGCTGGAAATCATACGGTGTGCCCTTTACTGATTCAATGGCACCTGTGGGGATGAGCTCTTCATTGACAGGAGTGATCTTGGAGCCGAATATCTGGATCTTATGCGACAAGATATTCCCACTGTCATGGCCTCTGAGATTCCAGTAGGTGTGTGATGCCAGGTTTACTGGTGTAGCCTTGTTCACTGCCTTGGCTTTCATTCTCACGCCAAGCTTGTTTTCGCCGATGAACATATATGTCAACTTCACATCAAGCTCCCCGGGAAATCCTGCACACCCATTTACACATGAATTGGGGAATCATTGTAAGCTAAACTCAAGTTTCTCCTAGTAAAAAAGCACTTTTTCCAAGTCCCCCCCCCCAATTTCAGTTATTTTCTTCAAATTCACTTCTTAAGGGGCTCTTTGGTTCAAGGAATTTGAAAAGGAAAAGAAAAGAAAATGAGATGGAAAGCAATTTCTCTTGTCTAGTTAGAGAGGAAAAGAAAATGGGAAGGCAAAATGTAATAAGAGGAGGAAAAACAAAATTCCTTCCATTTTGATAAGGAAACTTAGAGAAAAATATTTTCTTTTCTTTTTCTTCCAAATTTGTTGAGCCAAACATAGTGTAAAAGATTAGATAGTTGAATTCATTGGATGAGCTAATGGGCCCTATAAACTCATCTGTCTCTAGTCGATTCTTAACGATTTAAAAACACAAGGTAATTATATTATTGTTCTGATGGCAAGGTTAATTACCTTGTTCTCCGTCGTAGCTGTGGTAGGATAGAGTCAGATGACTATCCTTCTTGTAATCTTCCACGGTCCAGATCACATCGCTGAATCCTCTGGTACCACCTGAGTTTTGTTGACAACATCAAGTTATTTAATCGCGGTTCAAACTAAGTGTTAACATTTGAAGATTAAGAATAAAATGCAGACCATGGAGAGTGTTGCCATGATCATTGTTTGGCAGTTTGTACACAGTGCCATTGAGTTTGAATCTTGCTCCCCCAATCCTGTTAGCTACCCGCCCAACTATGGCACCAAAATAAGTTGTGTCATTCTGCAAATGTACATGTCAAAAATTATTAAATTATACTCCATAGTAATAGTAATAATCGATAATTGATCTCAAAGGTTTTTTTTGGTTGGGAGGGATTAGCCTAAACCTTCACATATATTAGACATTGTGTAGATATTGTTATCTCATTTGTGCCGAATAGGAAGAGACCTGCTCCATGATAGAATTTAGGATAGATAAAATCACTGGACTAGACCATATAACACTTAAGTTGAATCACATTAAAAGATTGAATCAAATTGATTACAAGTTCAATTCAACCCATTTTTTTTCATTTCCGATGTGGGATATTATAGTTCGTTCCCAATCCCATCCTTTCTATTCACTCCATGAACATTTTTCACAGCTAAGAATCTAAGATAATGATCCCTGGCCTTCCAAAACTCTCAATCGAACTATATCCGGAAAGAAAGAAAATCAGCAGCAGCTAAATTAGGGGACAAAATGTGCATAAGTAACAAACCTTGTAGTCCTCCACCGAGTCGAATCCAAGAACTACATCTTCTACTTTTCCTGTCCAGACATTGTTAACCAGACTAAAATCAGATCACAAAATCAAGAGTCAATTGTCTAATTGAGCTTTTGATGCCTCGAAAAACGAATGAAATCGAAACAGAAGGGAGGGAGTAGAGAGAGGTGAAGAAGAAAATGAAACCATGTTTATCAGGGAGGGTGACAGAGATAACAGTTGCGCCATAGTTTGTGATCTTCACAGAGAAGCTACTGCCCCTCCTGATCTCATAAACACCCACACCTTCTTCTCCACTCCCTTCACCGAAACTGCCTGTTAAGATAACAGCCAAAACCACGAAAAGAGATGGAGATAAGGTAGCAGCGGCCATGGTTATTCTGATTAGCAGCCTGCTCAAGGACTATACACTACTATCTCACATTTATTCTCTGTGATGACTATGTATCCACAAGTATTGAGGTAACAAGGATTACTTTTACTCGTGGAAATTGTGAAATCAGACAAGGTGTGTCATTTTTTGGCGTGGATAGGAGTGTGGTAATTGGTGGTGGAAAGAGGATTTTGAATTTGAATAAAGCTCCTTCTACTTGTATTTTAAATTGTACCGTGACAATTTCATGCTTCACAGCGACATAAAATTTAAATACAAAATGTTTTGATTGCACTAGTATTTTTTGTTAATAAAAACTACTACCTCCGTCCCACAGTTTTTATTCACTTTTGACTTTTGGAACTGTTCATCTAAGCACTTTGACTCATCAAATTCCCTCAATGTGTAAGCCTAAATATAGTCATGTGTGATCTTGTTTGATTTGTCTTAACATATAAATTATTAATATATAATTTCTATAACTTTTTAATATACAAATTACAAGATAAAATGGATTAAAGAAGTGCATTGGATGGTGTGTAAAAATGAAAGTGGACAAATATTTTGGGACGGAGGGAGTATCAAAGTGCCAATGCAAACTTATTAGAGTTATTACTCTTATTAGAGTTATTACTGTACTACTTGCGGTACATAGTGATAAAATAGAAATCACTCTAAATAAGACTAAAACATAGAGCAAAGTCTCAAAATAGGACTCTCATGTTCTTTTTTCTCGAAATAGGACTTCACACTGTGGTAATGTAATTGTAATGTGGCGCTATACATGTGCATATTACTATACTTTTCTGTAATGTACATGATTATATTTGGTAATATAAATGCATTTTAAGTCCTATTTCGGAAATAAAAAGATTGAAGTCCTATTTTTGGTATATTCTCAGTGTTTTAGTCATACTTTGGTCTTTTTCCCTAGTAATATTTATATTTTGAATTTATTTCCCAAATGTTAGATCCGTTCCAAAATCCAAACCACCGAGTATTATTGTCTACTTTTAATATTTTATGTCTTTGAGGAGTCCTAACTTCTTTAATTTTATTCCTCGTGACTATATTTCTAATATTGATTCGTTTGTAATTTAAATTGGTAAATTTTGATCATTGAATAAATAAAATTCATACTTACCAATAGACATTGGTGAAAAAGTTTTTTTTAATACATTAATTTGTACAATATTTTCAATATATGGTTTTATATTATTAATACCACATGTAATTTTGCGTCAGTGCCCCGTGAATGCCGCCCCTCCATTGGGACGTTGATCCGACGAACTCGGTACCAAATTGACACCACACCGAAAAGCAAAATCCGATAAATAAATAAATAGAGCGGAGAAAAAGTATTTTTACGTGGAAATTCAAATCAGGAGAAAATTACAAGAAAAAAAGACTAAAGTGGGAGTAAAACATTGAAAATATACTAAAATACTCTACAAAAACTGCTAAAATAGCAACGGAAATTTTCCGTCGCCAAAGGCTGAATTCCTTAGTTAATTGGCCTTAATGACAGAATTAATGACGGTAACGTTTCTGTCATTATTTTTTTGTTAGTACTCCATATTTACTATGACGACTATTTTTTGAAATTCGTCGATATGCAACGATGGAAATAGCGAAGATTTTCACGACGGTTCTTTTCCGCCGTTAGTCTAGCGACAAAATTGACGACCAATTTGAAGATCAGACCATATAGCAACGGAAAGGCAATTTCGTCGCCAAATCCACCGCTGATTTGATATAAATTTTATAGCAACATGCTGTTTTCAATGTCACACACCAAAAAATATAGCAACCTGCTGTTTTTCAATGTCACACACCAAAAAATATAGCAACCTGCTATTTTTCAACTTTTAGCATCAAACAGCCAACAAATACACCAAATGAAGACTAACAAACAACCAAGAATATTCAAATTACCAAGCTATTATTAAAATTTAACAAATATTTATAAAAATTCAACAATCACGTTACTAACTCTTCGTACATAACCACCAAAGTTAAGATTAATATAATGCTCTTCAATTGTGATAAAAATATTCAACAAGCGCTTGCAAACTCCGACCCTCCTCCATCTCCACTGCCATCTCCATTTCTACGTGGAAAAATTCCTCCATATAGTTGGGACATCTCCTCTCTAATTGACACTAGTTCACACACTTTAGAAGTTCTAATGTTGTCTAGTTCTTCTCTCAACTTCTTGATCTCGTCATCTCGAGGGTCCCACATAGAGCTGGTGTTGGCACGTCTTGCCTCACTTGCATGCATTCGTGGTAGGCTCTGTGCAAGATCTCCAACACCATGAACACGATTCTTAGCATCATGTTTTGTGACTGTAGATACAAAAATCTCGTCAGGTGTCACATTTAAGCCTTGTTCACGAACTGCATCTCATATGGCTACATAGTTTTGTTGCAATACACCAAACATACATGTATACAGTGTGAATTCATATTTAATTAGATTAAACAAACACTAATCGTTTATACATACATACATACATACATACATACATACATACATACATACATACATATATATATATATATATATATATAATAATTAAAATGACAAACCAAAATAAGAGAGATAGGGCTCCGGCACCCCACGCCGGAAACCACTGCCGGAAAAAGCTTTTCACAGAAGTGCTCAACTCAATCAAAGAAGAAGATAAGTTACAAGGTACTTTACAAGGAACTTTCAAGGGATGTCCCTCAATGTCATTTCCAATTGAAGATATACAGCAGCTTTCTAAGAGGTTCTCAAACGCACTAATTGGAACCTTTGCAAGACGTCCTCCTTACCCTATTTTGCAGAGCTTTTTACAGAAACTTGGCCTACAAGGGGAGTTCAAAGTGGGCAAACTCTCAACCAACCAGGTTCTATTAAATTTTCAATATGAAGAAGACTATCAAAGAGTCTTTCTTAGACAAACTTGGACGGTGGGTAACCAAATTATGGTCATCACAAAATGGACTCCTGACCATTCAGAGGAAGAAGACTGCCCAACTGTTCCAGTTTGGGTGGCCTGTCCAAAATTACCAGTCTACCTTCATGACCAACGAGCTTTAGCTCTAATTGCTTCTTCTCTCGGAAGACCTTTGAAAGTTGATGAAAATACCCTCAACTTTTCAAGACCAGATCTGGCACGCTTCTATGTTGAGGTTGATGTGTCCAAACCCCTTCCTGCCAAGGTTCATCTCAAACTAAGTGATAAAGATTCCTTCTTTCCTCTAATTTTTGAAAATGTTCCACATTATTGTTCCACCTGTATGAAACTGGGGCACTTGAAGGATTTCTGCAGAAGATCACTTCAGGGGGAGAAGAAATTGCAGCCACCTCATCCGGTTCATATTGTTGGGGAAGAACCGGTTCAAAGAAAAGGAAAAGAGCAATTACAGGAACAATGGACAATGGTTACTTCCAAAAAAAGTGGGTCAGGCAAAGAGTGGAGGAGGAAGCTGGTCACATTCAAGTCAGGCCCTGGGGAATGCTCTTCACAGGTATATTCCAAACAGCTACAAGACAACTCCCCTCCAGACATTATTACAGATGTACCAGTCACTTCTCCATCAGTTTCTACTGAGTTGGCAGCCAATGATTCAAATCCAGTCTACCCTCCAGCTCCTGCAAATAAGAAAGAGGTTAAAAATCTTGCATTAGTATTATGGAAGCCTTTACCTATAATTGAGGAATCTACATTTACCCCTCTGCTATCAGACCAGGGTGATTCAGACAGTGATGAGTGTGACTGTGAGGACCTAGGGGTTGTGGATGATCAATTTTTTGAAAAACCTCTGGCAGCCCTCCTAGTTTTACCAACCCAAAAATTAGATGCTCAAATGTTTAATCTCAACACTACAATTAAATCAAGGCTCAGGTCTGCCACTAAGAGCTCTTCCAATCTTCCCCAATGAAAGCTCTTTTCTGGAACGTTTGTGGAATTAAGTCTTCCCTTAACAGACTTATGACTCTCAAAAAAATTTACAACTTCTCCTTCCTAGCTATTTTTGAACCAATAGTTGCTGGTACAAAAATGGACTTCTATAAACTCAAGCTTGGTTTTAGTCATGGCTTTTCTACTCAACATAATAAGTGCTGGATACTATGGGACAACAACACTCTCACATTGTCTCAAGTCCAGGAAGGTGACCAGGTCACTACCTGCCTTTTCACAAATTCTCCCAATCACTCTCCTATCTATATCAGCTCGGTTTATGGGAAACACACCAGAAACGAAAGACTGCATCTCTGGGAATCTATCACTAATCACAATCCAGTGGATCAACCATGGATAGTGGGAGGGGACTTTAATACTGTCACTACCCTCACTGAGCATCAGGGTAATGTTCCTCCTTGCCTCAAAAGCATGGAAGACTTCACGGATTGCATTCTCACATGTAGCCTTCTGGACCCTTGCCTTCAGGGAAACACTTTCACATGGATGGGCAACAGAACTAAAGGCAGAGTTTTGCGTAGGCTTGACAGAGTACTTATCAATCAGGCCACTATAGATCAGCACTCTGAGATCTTCCTCTATCATTTGGGCAAAACTTCTTCTGACCATAAACCTCTCCTATTGTACTGCATTAACTACCAATACAGTGGACCTAAACCCTTCAGATTTCTCAATGCTTGGACATTAGACAAAAGCTTCATTGGTTTGGTTAAAGAATCTTGGAATTCCACTACTAATGGGAGAGGAATGAGGGGACTGGCTTCTAAACTTAAGAGTCTCAAAAAGTGTATTAAGGAATGGAACAATACACACTTTGGCAATATTTTTTCTCAAGTTAAGGAAGCAGAACTGGATGCCCTTCAAGCACAGGAAAAATATGAACTTGATGACTCAGCAAACAATAGAGAGGCTTGTAATCTAGCTAATGCTAAATTACTCAAAGCATGCAACAAGGAAGAAAATTATTGGGCTCAAAAAGCAAATATCAAATGGCTATCCAGTGGAGATGCATCAACTAAATTTTTTCATTCCTTTGTAAAAGGAAAAAGGAGAAAAGCTAGCATCAGACTACTCAAAAATCAAGATGGAAAAGAAATGGTGGATCAAAATGATATTTCCAGTTATATTGTCAGCCATTTTGAAGCCACCTTTTCAGATACTCACATGGGAAATCAGAGCCTGGAAACTATTCTACCATACATACCTAATCTCATCACTGAAACAGACAATACCAACCTTGTTCAATTGCCACTTGAAGAGGAAATCAAGGAAGCAGTATGGCAATTGAACCCTAACAGCTCAGCAGGGCCAGATGGCTATAATGTGGAATTTTTTCGCCATTGTTGGGATATCATTAAGGCAGATATTGTTAGTGCTATACATGAGTTCTTTCTAGGCATTCCCATCCCCATGGCTTTTGGCAGTACCTATGTTACACTAATTCCTAAGGTGGAAGGAGCCAAAGTCATTGGTGACTATAGGCCTATAGCACTCTCCACTTTCTTCAGCAAGTTGACTTCCAGAATTATGGCTAATAGGCTAGCCCCTTTACTTATTAAGCTAATCTCCCCTGAACAAGCAGGCTTTCAGAAAGGTAAAGGTATTGAGGAACATATATTGCTGACCAATGAACTTATGCAAAAACTGGAATCCAAGATCAGAGGTGGTAATATTATGATAAAGCTAGATATGGCTAAAGCCTTTGATAAAATGTCATGGAGCTATTTAAGGGCTGTTCTCACAGCTTTTGGATTCAAGGAGAAATGCATCTCTCTTCTTCTCCAAAGCTTAGAGTCTACACACATGTCGATCCTTATTAATGGCAAACCTTCAGGCTTTTTTAAAATTAAGAGGGGAGTTAAACAGGGAGACCCCTTATCTCCCCTTCTCTTTATTCTTGGGTCTGAAGGTTTCTCCAGGAGCCTCAAGCAAGCCATTAATTCTGGATTCATATCTCCCTTTAAGGCTAGAAGGAGCCCAGTGGTGTCCCACCTGGCTTTTGCAGATGATCTCATTGTTTTCCTCAAGGGTGACTTCAGAAATCTGCTAAGATTCAAGTACATCCTATCTAACTACTTAAGGGCATCTGGGCAAGAAGTTAATAACAGAAAAAGCAAAATTTTTTGCAAAAAGACTTGCCATGTAGCATACAGAAAGAAAGTGGAGGAAGCTCTAGGTTTCAAGGTGGAGAATCCTCCTTTCAAATACCTGGGCTCTATCATTACCACAGGTAAGCTCAAAAGAATTCATTGTGACCAAATCCTTCATCACTTTGATGCGTATCTTAACAGCTGGTACAGCAAAGAGCTTAATCCAATGAGTAGGCTCATACTCATTAAGCATGTACTCAGTGCCATCCCATTACATACTCTAGCTGTTCAGGACATTCCCAAATCCATCATCAATCAAATCCATTCTAAACTGGCTAACTTTTTCTGGGGCTCTAAAGCGGGGAAGAATAAACATCATTGGTCAAAATGGGTCACCCTCTGCAGACCTTCAGGAGAAGGAGGGTTGGGTATAAGGAGTCTGGATGATATCCAAAAAGCTTCAGCTCTGAAACTTTGGTGGAAATCAATCACAGGTGATTCTCTTTGGGCCACCTATATGAAAGACAAATATTACAGAGATGGTCTTTTTGAATCTAAACTGTATGACTCAGCCTCTTGGAAAAGAATGCAGAATTTCTACTATAGGCCTTCAAAACACAACCATGAACAATAACATTCTCAAATGGAACAATGGGGACTTCACTTTTAAGGAGGCATATTGGGCAGTTAGGGAAAGGGACATCAGTACTCAGCTCTACACTCTCACTTGGAACAAGTATCAGATCCCCAAGATAAAGCTTTTCACTTGGAAAGCCTTGAACCAATTTCTCCCTTTTTCCAATATCCTCAAACAACTGTCATATAATTTGCCTAGTAAATGTTTATTCTGTGCGAAAGCTGAGGCAACAGATGAACATACGCTACTCACATGTGACCTCTCTCTAAGTATCTGGCGAGACTTCGCGAATTATATTGGAGGTCCAGTATGGAGTCAAGGCAGGGAGCTAAGGCAGTTTCTATTACAATGGTGGGAGTCATATAAAAAAACCTCCCTTCGGGGTCTTCCTAAGCTTATCTTACCGGGATGCATCATCTGGATTCTTTGGAAGACATACAATAGATGTCTCTACGAGGAACACAAAGCGACCAAATTGGGGATTACTATTGAAATTCAAAAACTAGTTCAACACTGGTACTGGTCGAACAAAAAAGCTCAGAAGATTGCGAAATCGGAAGAAATTGAAGCCTTGAATCTTTTACCCTATCTTACCAGATGAGCTAGCTGAAACGCTCAGTTGAGGAGGATAGATATTCGTCCTTTTTGTTTTTCTTTGCAGCTGTTAATTTCTGTTGTTATATTTGGCTTTTCTTTTCTTCTTCGGGACTTTGTTGGGTCAACCCGAACCCATTTGTATATTCTCTCTTTAATCTAGTTGGTAAGGGTTACCTGGACCTTACCCCACTGCATTGGTGGTTTCTTTTCGGGTTAAAAAAAAATAAAAATAATATATATATATATATATATATATATATATATATATTGGTTCTGGTGAGAATGCAATCTTAGGAGAGAAATGAGAATGAATCTGGTGCTTTAGATTGTGAGATCTAAGGGTCAAGATTTCATCAAAATTAGATGCACCAAAATGGTGCAAAAATGCATCACGTTGAAATGCACCATAAACCTTCGAAAATGCACTATCTCAAAATCTGAGCGCATGATGCAATCTGAGCCGCACGATGCATAAGATCTGACGGCTAGATTTTATTCTCATTTCTCTCCACAAGGTGCATTCTCACGGGAACCGGCCCCTATATATATATATATATATATATATATATATATATATATATATATATATATATATATATATATATATATATATATATATATATATATATATATATATATATATATATATATATATATATATAT